TTGGCATGGATGGTGGGAGTGAGGAACCCACGAACCATGGGGTCCTTCATACTTTTGGGGCGGAACAAGTTACTCACAACCTTCACCGCATCTCGGCGCCATGAAATTAAAACACATGTGACATGGGCGTTCTGTTTGACAGAATCACTCTTCGGAAGATCTTTAATAAGTATATTTATCGTCAATATATATATATATACATAACAATGCGCCCGTGCTGAACAAACAACTGTCCAACTTCTCAAGCTCCAAACAGTGGGACTTCATGGGACCTCGGACTATTCGGCTGAAAGTTGGGAAACTTGTTGTTAGACAAAAAGGATCCAAAAAAAAACATGTCTTGCGGACTCGTGTTGGTCATGGCCGGATTGCGCGGATTGGCAGTGACCGGGATCCTTCAAGAATCCATCGACAGCAAAAGCGAATCAATGGTCGAAGACCTACTTGTGATTGGTCTGTGCGTGGTTTGATTAAAGACAAATTTTCTTCGAGTGACCCCCACCCATGACATTTCAATTTGACAGAATTTCTGGCATGTATTGAAACGTTACTAGGTGGCCAATTCGACCAGGGCGAAAAATATTAAGGCTGCGGTTGGATTTCGCCACTTTTTTCGAACCCATCGCATGAAGTCAGCATTGGAACTCAGCGCATACTCTCATCCAGGTATCATCGCCTGGCAGGTGGGCATCCAATGATGGAGTTGAACTATGGACTCTGGACAGTGGACGGCTGAGCTGAGTAAGTATAAGACCTGACCTGTTGCCTCTTGAACTGTACCTCAATCTCTTGGAGTGTCTTGAAGTACGTATGAGGCTTTTGAATCTTTGTGTCTCCCAGTTGCAATGGCAAGTTGCATACACCCAGCAACTTTGTTGCTTTCACCCCAATAATGAACAAATAAAGTACTGTACGCACATCTTACGGGGCTTTGCATTCCCATGTCCTACACTTGGGATTTGGGTAGAGGTGGCCAAAAACAAGGGTTTCCATTCCCGGCACCTTTCCAGACGCCCTGCCAGAAGAGATCTCAAGCCATGAATGGCAAGCTGGAGCCTTTAGAGTTGCAAGCAGCAAACTGAGGCCATGCCCTGTACCACTCTGAAGTAGCTGGCTGCGCGGAGTGCCGGCGGATATCTGACGGCTTCATCAAAACCACTCCGCATGCCGCTTCAACAGCAACACACCCAAAGCTCCACATATCGACCGCAGGACATAAGGCCTTCTGAAGTGTCTCTAGACTGTGACCTGAACTCCACAGCTCAGGCGGTCTGTACTACGAAGTCACATACTCCCAAAAGCGAGGGTTCTTGACTGTGTTCTGGGCAGGCTGGTGATTTACAGCAGTGGGCACGGACTTCAGGTCAAAGTGCTCAGCCACGCCAAAGTCGCACAGCTGAAGTTGGCATAGCTCGTTGCACCAAAGAATATTTCCAGGCTTCACATCCAAATGCAAAAGGCAAAATTTGGTGTGCAGGAGCTGCAAAGCAGTTCTCAGCTGCGACGTCAGCATCTGCATGTGCTTGGCGCTGAAGGGTCCGTCCCTCTAAAGTTTCTGTGACAAACTGCGGCCTGGCCAAGGCTCTCCCTTTCAATCTGCTTGTAGGAAGGCAGGGAACAAGTGACGCTGCATCAGTGACAACTTCGAAGCTTCAAATATGGCCTCTTCATTTGCACTTTGCCCACTGAACACTTTCACAGCACATCTGCGGCCAGTGCCAGATGTGGCCAAGAAGAATTTACCAGAAGCGCCGTTGCCAAGAATGTCAAGGCAGTGCTCACTTGACTCCTCCAGCTGCAGCAGCCCAATGACAATGGGGGCACAGGAGTGCGCCGAACACTTCTTGGGCACAGGCCCTGGGCTTTGGACTGTGGACTTTGTGCACTTGGAAGCTCGAAGTGGCACACCTGACTGCAGAAGATCTGCCGCTGGGCTTGAAACTCAGCAGCGCTCTTCTGGTTGGTGATAATGCTTCTTCTCAGCATCAGGCAAAGTTGCCCACAGCTTGCCCAAGCATTTCATTTCATCTAGATGATCTTTTCGAGGCGCACCTTTGCGAAGGCAGCTGTGTTCCATCAAGAACAGTGCCTTTCGTGCTTTGGGCACCTGCCCATCTTTCACGGCCACAGCTCTCCTGGCCACTTTTTTGGTCGATTTTCTGCAAGTGATATGGGCAGGAAGTTATTTTGTCTTGCCACGAACTCGCTTCAGCGGCACCACAAGGCCTGTCCGCAGCTTGCAACAGGACTTCTTCATCATTCTCAAACTCCATGTCTACAGGCCTAAGTGGTGGCAGCCTTCAAAGTCAACAATGGACCCTTGGACGCACTACCCATGAAATATGCGCATTGAAAGGTCTTTTCTGAGCGCTCAAAGGTGTATCAGGCAAGCTACCAATCCTAAACTTTCAGCGTGCGTTGCTGCGCTGTCCCTGTGTCAAAATGCGACTGGAACTATGGACTGTGGACTTTGGAATTTGCCAATCACCCTTCAGACTGGCAAAAAGAAGTCCCAGCACCCCTGCCAAGTCAATCAAAGCTACTTACTGCCCTCATTGTCACTGGCAGGTTCCATGGGCTCATCTTCTTCGTCTTTGGTAGACGCAAGCCCTGAGTGCTTTCTCACTTTGGCATTCTCCTCTGAGAAAAGCGTGGACCCTTCCAATGCCATGAGCCCGCACGCAGCACTGTCTACGACGGCTTGCAACCACTGTAGATGGTCTTTGCTTTACCTGCGCAGGTTGCATGTGAGGCAGCAAGTTGGAATGATCGGCCTGGATCAAGCTTTTAAGGCGTTACAGCACAAGCAAAGCCAAAAAGACACTGAGCATTGGACAAAGTCCATGGTAGACAACACCGCGTGTAAGCGCAGCTTCCATGAGGGCACCTGACCCTGGGCTGCAATCAAAGATTGTCGAGACTTTCCAGTCGTCAAGGACTCGTTCCAGAAAAGCGGCACGTTGTCTGCCCCAAAGCGCTGCGCCCAGTCTTCTGGCACAACTGGTGGGACTGTGGACGGTGGACTTTGCAAGATCTTGAGCTTCTCTGATGGAGAAATGAGGGACACTTTGGCACTGCGTCTGAAGCTGGCACCTGAGTATGTGCCCATAGGTGGACTCTTCACCGCAAGCCGTGAACTGCTCTTTCTTGTTGGCCTTGATCTTGGACCTGTGAACAGGACACAAAATCGCAATTGGCCCGACCTTTTGGCAGATAGCGGCACCCTGCGAGATCTGCCAGCCCGTGGAGGCACCCACCAGCATAAACAACAAAGCCTTCTCCGGAGTGAGGTTGCGCAAGAAGACTGTCTTCCTCAGTCGCAAGGACCATGGGAGCAACTGGGGACAGATTGCAAAATCAACAAGCCTTCCTTCACAGCATGGACATGAGCAGGGCCAGTAGGGATAGGCTGGCCGCTTTATTGCACACGGACTAGAAGCAATTGGAGGACAGCATCTAATTTAATCAATCTACACAAAATCTCACTAGCAAAAGCTAGCCAAGGCAAGGCTCATTCAAACGGCGAACTTCCCGTAACCGGCCATCGAAAAGCATGCCAAAGTCCGCAGGGCCACTTGCATTTGCCACAAAAGCTGAGACTTCCTCCCACATCTTGGGCGGTGGAGAGCATGCACCATTCTACGGCTCTTCACCTTCTTCGCGCAGGAGATCTGCAGAAGCAGTGAGTAGCCGATGGCTACTGTTCAGCTCTGCAGTATGACTAAAGACCTTCTTTGTGGAACGAAATGCGCTCAAAATCTTGTCTTTTGTCCACGCTCTTGGAAGTGTGATAAACTTTCGTCTTTCACTTTGAACCTGCTTCCACATGTGCTCCCGCTCGGCCTCTGACCCTTCTGCCCCACCTTCTCGGCTGAGATTCATCAATAAGCTTGAAGTCCTGGAGGAGACGCCGCGGTCGTCACACTCACACTCTTGCTTTGTGCATCAAACTGGACGATGGTTGCGCGCAAGTCCTTGAGCAAAGCAGGCGCTTTGGACTGTGAGCTTGGAGCATCGCAGAGTTGCTCCGCTGCCTTCTGCATGGCCTTCATCAATCCTCCAGGCAAGGCTGCAACTTCCTGACAGTCAGAGATAGTCCCGGCCAGCCATGACTTTCAGAAGCAAGTCAAAGTGCAAACCAGTAGCTCGATTGAGCCGTTCTTTCACCTCTGCCAAAGGAGCACTTGGGACATCAGCGGCGCACTCATCTTCGCAATCATGTTCGCCCACAGGGCCATCTCCCTTGTCCTCTTGTTTGAGAAATTTCTCCCAGCAAATCTGAGGATCTCCTAACTCGCGAAGCACGGCTGAAGCCTCGTCACACTCTGCTTCTTGCAAGTTTGCAAGAAGATTCTCAGCGTACTCAAAGACCTGGGTCTCAGCGTGCTAGAAGCATCTGGCCACATGAACAACAACACACTTAAACTTAGATGTCTCACGTTCTCATATCTCTGCCTCCAAGACACTTGCAGAACCACAATCTGAGCCTGCCAGAAGCCCAGGCTACCTGTCTTCCTGCGTCCGTCAAGCCATTGGTCACTCGCCTTTGAAGGTGCTCGCAGCTTTGACCTGAATGCCAAAGTAAGACACTCTCAGCCAGCTCACAGGGGTCATATACGGCTTGGCCCATGTGCTTCTCAGGAAATGAGCTTCAAGGAAAATGACCTGCAAAATTGCCATAGTGGATGACCTTGGAGCAACAAGTTGTCGACCCTTGGATGTAAGAATTCAACCTTGAATGCATGAGGAGTTACCAGCTTTACCCTTGAATGCAGAAAGCAACCCTTGAATGCTTACAACATCTTACAACTGACATCAGAAACCCTTGACCCTTGAATGCAAGAACTTGCCCTTGGCGGCAAAATCGGTTTGGTTGGTACGAACCAGGAGTGGATTGGAGGATCACATTCAACCCTCAGTTTGCACCAACCCAGGGTGGAATCCTGGAAGGACAAAGCACACATACGCACAACTACAGGGACAGTGGATTGGCTGAGCAGCCTGAGTTGGTACCATCCAGCAGTGGATTGGAAGGGTCGGTTTTAGCCTGCCCCCCCAATGAACAACCCAACTGTACATAGTGGTAGACTAGTGCTTGGCCTTCTTGGCCTCCCTTGTCTGATTGCCGCTGTGCCCCAGGCCAAACGTGCTCCCGTCACATTGGTCCCTAATACCCAGTATATGCAAACACATTATTGAAGGAAAGCAAAACCCCAACAGGCTCCTTAGAAACTATTTGACTGACTATTTGAGCATAGAGCAACAAAAAGCTTGAATCTTGCAAAGCTAAAAGCTGCAGCCTCTGAGTCTGGCAGTTGGACTGCTGGACTCAGGACTGTGGACTCTGACTCTGCCTGAGGCAGCAAGGAAGAGTGCAAGAGACATCTGGTGTCAAAGGAATAAAGCAACACACTGCCACGCCAACATAGATAAAAATGGCTCTCTCATCATTGTAGCAGCAGGCTCAAAACCAAGGCCACAACCTTTGAGGCCCGGTGTTGGACCGCAAGCTCTGTGCCTGAGGCTGGAAAAGAAAAGGCAGTGCCTTGCTATGTCCCAAGAATCTGCTCAACATTCTGCAATGCCCCGTGAGTATGAGGACACAGCCTCTAGCCTGCACCCTTTGACAGACCTATGCCACAGTCAGATTGCAGCTCTGAAGCAGACTTGTCATTTGGACATTGGCTTGCCAAAAGCTGCTAGCTTGCGCCTGTCTCCCAACCCACAGAACGAAGGACGGTGGACTGTGGACACGGCACGGCTGCCACCAAATGGAGGAGCTTGCTGAAAGAATTTTCAGGCCTGAGTGCAACTCTACATGGGAAAGCGCAGTGTGAATGAGCCTTGATTGCTACCACTTTGCCCTTGAGTGGCCTAACCAAAATACTTGGCACTCATGGGTGTTTCCTGAACACTGAAGGGTCAAAGCCACTGTCTGTGGTTGATGCCAATGCTCTGAGGAACCCACTGGCGCAACCGTATAGTCGACTGGCAGGACCTGAGCCACCACCTTGCAAGCATGCAAAAAGGCAAGCAAGGGAACAGTGCGGATACATGATGACAAACTCCATGAATGATGGATGTTGCCATTGCTGCATCAAACAGCCCACAAACCACCAAGAATAGAGCAAGGAACCAGTAAATGGTGTCAATACAATACTGTCTGCCCCTAATTTCCTGGCCTCTGAAGTCACAGCAAAACGTAGAATGCCTGGACGCGTGCAACTAGGGGATCTGAGCGCAGCGTCTGAAAAAGAACCTGAATGGACACCTCTTCTAATGCCAGGTGTTCCTCCTATCAAGTGTGGTCATGTCTAGAAGGCCTCACAGTCTCAGCTGCTGCCACTGAAGACGAAGACGTCGAAAGGTCCAACCTGGGCAAGCAAAGCATGAGCATCTTGACCTACCTGCCAATGCTACTAATGTCTGTAGACCTTTGCCTGTCCTGTTGTTCTATCGCTTGATGCCAATTTTGCTCCGCAAAGGGAGAATCCAGCGGTGGAAGACATCAACGTCAACCCGCTCGGCTGATCTGCAAAATGAAAAGTCCAGCGGCAGAAGGTGCCAAGCCGTTTGGGTTCCCAAGCAAACTATTGCCATTGAGGACAAAGCACGCCAATGGCCCTGAAAAGCAATCCAAAGTCCTTGCTACCATGATATGAAAATGCTACTGAAAGCAAATTCTCCAAGCTAGCAATGAAATACATTTTCGTGTGTGGACTTTGGACTTTGGGCACAGTGCTCAAAGGCTTGCTAAGTCCCTGCGCAGTCCCTGAGTCTTTGCTCACACTTCCTCAGGTCCACTGGTGGGACCCCGGACCCGTCATGTCCATCATCTTGGACCGCCCACTCTGTGCAGCAAGTGTGGCACCATTGGGCCAACCAGCGTCAAATCAAATGGCTTGTGTTGCGCCTCCTGCTTGCGCTCTATCTTCAAGACCAGGGGACGCCTCTTGTGGGCAATCGCTGCAACCTTGGCTTGATGTCCACACGGCCGGGAAAATGGCTGCGGCGAAAACAAATCAAAAAAACAAAAGGTGCGAGCTGGCTAGCTAAATGCCATGTCAAGCAACAAAGCGGAACCCAATGAGGAAGAAGCCAAAGTCATCTTCGGTCATCCCAGTCCAACAGCATTCCACGGAGCGCTTGGACGACATGAGGAAGTCCTGGTAGTTCTCATCAAAGTTCCCCTTGAGCACCTCCGCCTACGCAGGGGTGGCTGACTTGGCAATCAAGTGAATGAGGACATGAAACTAATAATGAGTTGATTTCAAACAATGGTGGCGGGATGCTCCAACCAAACGATGTGAGCAGCTTCTCCTTGAGCACTAGCGTCGGCGTCTTAAAGCTCTTGTGGGAAACTTCGGCAGGCTCCACGTAGAGCACATAGAAGCAACCATCTGTGCTGACCCACAAGCTCCGAGTGAAAAGGCGGCCACTCACCGGGCATCTGGCAGACAAACTGCTGCGCAATCCAACTGGCGAAGCACCTGCAACTCTTCTGTTCGCCTTAGCATTGCACTGAACAATGGCCTGCCAGATCTTAAAACCTACAACACTCCACCACCCAGAAATCCAAAGTTTGTCTGACTCAAAGCCCAAGCACACCAGCATTGTATGCTGCACAGCCAGATACAGCCAGCTTCACACCACAGGTCTGCAGCAGGCTGATGTACTTTGGTGTGAATCGCTCCCGGAAAAAGGACTTCTCGATCAACGCCAAGTTCCTGAGGGGGGTGCCCATGTAAAAGACAACGGGCCTAGACACAAACAATTCACAACATCTTTTTGCCGTGCTCCCTGTCCTCTCTTCCAGGCTGCGCAACTCCGAAGCATGTGCATGACCAGGCAGCGCACGTGGCTCGGCCCTCCGAAGACCTGCCAGCTCAATGAACTTTCTCCCAAATTTGATCACATCTCTGGCAAAGAGGCCAATGTCAGCCAGTTCCCCAGCAGCGGCCACCAGCAAAGGCCAATTCGACCAGGCAGCATCATCTGCCTTGGACTGGCCAGTACAATTCTGCCCAACAAAACAATTTCAGAAGAGTCTTTACTCAACCCCTGGCCTGCCCAAACACATGAAACCAACTCTTGAAGATTTCAAGGAGTGCTTGAATAATTGAATTGGGGAAGCGCAATATTCAACTAAGCAAAGGCACAAAGATCTGGACCTGGAGCGTATTGCCACGAGCCAAGCTGTGCAGCATTTGGAGGCACATGGAACTGTTCAAGAAGTTCTCGAACGCAGCAAGAGAACTTAGATGCTGCAGTGCTTTCGCACTTGTCAAAAAAAGTTCAACCTTGAGAAGCCT